GGGGGAAAAAAAAAAAAAAAAAAATACTGATCGAATTGAGTTTCTTCTCCTTTTTCGAAGTCGGTTAAAAAGGATATACTTCATTTCAATAACCTTGAAATATATTGTCAAGGGCAATATTTTGAATCACTTTCCTTTGTACATATAACCGTCATTGGGCCTTAACTTTTGAGGTATTTACAAAAAACTAATAACAATATATTAATAAATTCAATATTATAAAATGTTCAATTTTTTTTCTTTTTCTCTATAATGACCCATGTCAATGTTGTTTAGACACACGATATTTTGCCAATAAAATATAGTACAATTTTTGTTAGTAAAAATAAAATAAATCTTTTGTTTCAAAATATTAAAAATAATTTGGCGAATATCTTTGAAAGTAAATCCGAGCGACGATTATATAGTATAAAAAGAAGGTACTCAGAATGATGTCCTTCGTAATAAATTTCAAAATACTCTTTTATTATCTAATCTTTTTATGTAATTTCCAAATCTTCAAAAATATAGGTGATGATAATATGTATAAAGAATAAGATTGTATGTTTTTTCTGAATAGCTAATTAGTAGTATTTTCCACTGTACGATATAGTTTAAATATTTATTTAACACCCAAGGTGAATTAGGTATTTAAAAAATGATTATTTAGAACCCTAACGTAGTTGAAAATTATAATCGAATAATTATATATAATTAAGATTATATTATATAATTATATACAATTTTGTCATCGTATAACAAACTGTTGGAGGTCCCAACCTTCGAAGTCGGCGTATTTTTTTTCTAAAAATTCTTTTATTTCACACTTTTTATCGGCCGGCAAGACGTGTTTGTAGAAACAGTAGAAAATCGGCGACTGCATGTTGACTCATACACCAACAGAATCCACTCAAGTACCCATAAATTACCACCTCTCGAAATCCACTTTCTTTCAATATTTTGTCCAATCCCTGTTCTTTTCCTCCACCCTCGTTAAATAGTTTCAACCAATAAGCATTTTCCTAAAAGGTTTCTTTTTCACGATTTTTACTCCGCCTCGTCAGAATTCATTCGCAACTCAACCGTGTTAGTTCATAAACTTATTAGATAACTGATGTAAGATATTTGTGTGGAAATAAAATTAACTATTTAAAGTTAATCCCGAATTATCTGAATCCGGTTTTCCAACAAAACTTATATACATAATATTATTTACAAAATAGATATAAGATCTTTAAAACACATGTTCTTACACAAAGTACAGATTAATGTTTAACAAGGCATTCTCTCAATTTACAGAATCATGAAATTAGTTGTTGATTGTCAAAATTTGTTTTCTTTCATTGTATGTATTGTTCTGGTATTGAATACATTAATACTAGAAGCCATATGGCAACATGCAATGTGCCCATTAATAAGTGAATTTCAAAGGCTGATTATGAAATAGGTATTTAAATACCGCAATCTCTGAATATCTTCTTATCTTCTTATCTATATTCACTTTTGTGATACCAACCTAAATATACATGTATACTTATCTACACGTCTTTTTATTCCAGACAAGTGCACTTTTTATGTCGTTATCAAATGATTTATTGTTTGCCGAAATTGCATATTATCTTGTATATCGAACTTGTTTAATGAAGAAACTGTTCTTTTATTTATTGCAGAAAGAGTAAACAAGTCATCACATGCTTTCTTTGAAAATAGTAAGAACAAAGGAAATATTGTTGAAATTAATTTCAAATGTTGTTTCGTATTAATTTGAAAAATTTGTCCTATATTGCCAAGTATTATAATTCCATATGTAGTAATATAATGAAAGTGAACTGTACTTTGAGTTCTATCATTGTACATCTAGCCGTGTATTATATTGTCACGCAACAAGTCATTTGTTCTTGGAAGAATTGTCAGTAAAAAATTCTTCAATTTTCCTTGCTGAATATGCACTTTCAGTAGGAAAATGTCGATAGTGTTGTGGGAAATCAACAATTAGTTTGCTCATTTGTTTGAACTTCATATGCGGTGAAATCCTCGCAACCACGGAGATAGATTTCGAGACCTTCCGCAGATACTTGGAACCGGAAATTGCAGCGAAGGTTATGAGCTCTAGGCCGAGTTCTAGGAACTCAGAAAAATACGTTTATTTTCCTTGTTTGACTGTGGCAATTAATTGCCCGTATTAAAAACATAAGTATGTGAAGCGAATAAATCTTTACAACTATACAAATAGACTTGAAGGATTAAATTATACAATAATTAAATTATAAATTTATGTATGTGAATAATAAGATTAAATGCAATTTTCATATTTTTATTCAAAATAGTAATTACAAAACATGTGGTATTTCAACATCATCAATCGCTAGATCATCAAGCATCTCTTCAAGAGTAATTTGTGGACAGCTAAGATCAGGCAACTCATTAGTATCCACCGGAATTACTTTCTTCTTATCTCTAAAAATGTTTATGTTTTGCCTCATTTCTGGATCTTCCTCAATATCTTCCAAAAATTCGTAGTAGTCACTGAAACGAAAGAAAGATATAGATAAACAATCACGTAATTAACAATAATTTAAAATCAATAGAAACATCATTTACTGATATTTTTACATAATTATTAAGAAGATTAATGAAAGAAAATAATTTACTATTTGTTAATAGTTTTATGTTTAATAAATTTAAAAAATTTTGTAATAAAATGATATTAATAAAGCTGAAATCAAATTAAAATATTCAAACGGCTCTACGAATGATCTAAGTATTTATATTTTAATATATCCGTTAAATTATTTATTCTGATGTTTAAAACATTTAGTAAATTATGTGTACATATGGTAGGATGCAGTATATAGAACATATTAGAATAAAAATTTTACTTACTTATTATCCGTCATCATGCTATTATCATCTTGTTGTACCATATGTTTCAATTTCCAAATTCTCATTCTGCGACGTGCGGCTTTGTCTTGCAAGTAACTCTTCTTTGTTAAAATTATATCTGGTACTAAATCTTTATTTAATAACTCGAAATTTTCATCGTTAATGTTACTTTCACCGAGAGCATATCTAAAACGAAAAATCGCTTCTTAATTTGTGAATTATGTTGTTTTATTTTTTTTAATATCATTAATTTATTTACCCTAAAACAGTGTCTCCAGGCTTTAATATGTGACCAAGATGAGTACGCGTATGGATTGAATTATCACTTATTCCTAAATCACAACTTCTAACCAACCATACATCCGCAATAATGTGCTGCAATAATAAAGAAAAAGTATAAATTATATATTTCACTCCTATTACAAACAATATTTTGCGAATTATACCTATTAAATTTCTACTCCCGTTTTCTTTAAATATTAATTTACTTTCTATTACTCGGTGATATTATTATTAATAGGCTTAATTAAGAAATATCCTGAATTACGGTAAAAATACTCTCTATTGAATATTATTTACAAAATTATAATAAATTTTTTGAATTACTTATTACTTTAAAAAAAAAGAATTTTTTAATAGTACTATTAAAATTTTCTTATTCTGAACAATTAATACACTTCATAAACATATATTAGAATAACTTAATGTTATTTACCTTACTGGAAATGCTCCCCTGTCCTGGGAAGAATTTTCTGTCCTTAAATTTTATTGGTTCGATATCCATGACTATGTATTCTATTAACTGTTTTGGATTACAAATACTATTAAAAGGGTGTCTCCAATAAAGAGTAGCATTTATTTCTGCAACTGAATTAATAATACTTTTTTATAAACAAAATCTTTATTTGAGAACTGAATTTAAATAAAATAAAAATATTTTAAATTACACATACTTTGTCCTGTAGACACATCAATTAAGTGTATAGAGTTTGAAACTTTGTATACTAAGCAAATAGAATTTATTCCTCCAAGTTGATGACTTAATTTCTTTGAAAGACATACTACACTGTCTCTTGATATTGGAACAATCTCTACACTACGAAAATATTACAAATGTATAATAAAAAAAGGAAGCAACTTTTAACTGTACACAAAATAAAATTATATCATGTAAATTGTTACCTGTATGTAAATTTGTAATTGTATATATTGCTATGAATATCATGTGATATTAGCTTTTTTGAATGATCATAACGACAAGGTATTACACTTGAAAGGAAATCAACCATTTTTCGTGCAGCTGCTTCATTTGCGAAGAAGAAATCTAACCCCTCTATAACAATTAATAACTCCTTTAAAAATCTATTGACTTTAATTTAAATTCTATTTTTTAATATTTTTAATCAACTTAAAAAATTAATTACCATGAATAGGTTTTATTCCTAAAGTTTGTTCATGTGCTTTATATTTTAAAATCAACTGTTCTAGATAATAAAATGTTTTTTTATTTGTTGCTCGTTGTCGAACTTGAACCTATCATAAATAAATTGTACTATAAAAATATAACTCATTAATGAAGAATCTTATAATTTTATGAAACTCACCAAAGCACGCCAATAATCTTTTGCTTCAGTTCTGTGACAATCGTCACACATCTGATGATTTACTGTATATTCAACAATAAATACTTGTTGTAAAACTGCACCATTCATTACTTCAGCTTGCACTGTTAGTTTTACCTAAAAATAAAACATGGAAATTAAATTATTTCTTCACAATGCAATCAGGTAAGATTATACCTTCAATCTCATAGAATGAGGTTCTGTCCATACAAATCCAGCATCAATTAATTTTAAACGATTCAAACTCTTTAATTTTTTTAAGCATAATGTTAACAACTCCCTAGATTCTAAAGCTGCATGAATCCATTCTGAGGGTGGTTGCAAGTATCTAAATCAAAATTTTAACAGTTAAGATAAATCAAGAAAAACTTTGCTAAAAAAATTAACTGTAATGCATGTTACCTTTCGCATCCCTTACAAAAATGAATAGTTGCTTGTTTTGGAACATTTTCTGTAATATCGATTTGTGTTCGTAAACATGCTACACATGTGTTTGCTGGATTAGGTTCTATACTAATACCACACATACAGCATAATCTATAAACATAATTACATTACATATAATTTTAATTATGTAAGATATTATTAATATTATATAATTAGTAGAAATAGCAATAAAGGAATAGTGCAATCAAAATTAAAAAAAAAAACTTGTGAATAGTAAAGAAGAATGAAATAATGATACATAATAGACGATCTTGTACACCTTTCGATAAATTGAGGAACATAATTAATATTTCATATATAAATCAATAATTAATAATATTTCATTGTTTTGAATCATTTATTTTTTGTTAATGTATTGTTTCCTACATATTTTAATGGGTATCTTTTGATACTTAAATAAATAATTTTTTCTGCAAATTACTTTTATATTATTCATAACTTAAAGAAGTAGTGGTAACATGCATCATCTTTAACAAATGGTATTTGTCTCAAAATAACCACAGAATCGTACAAAATATGTATGTTGCATATGTGGTAAAACTAAAAAGGTTAAAAGATATAATATTAGAATGAATATTCGTCCAAATTATACAATGACTTTTGTTTAAATTAAAATGTTCATTTCACAAGTTGTAATGTCAAAGATTAACCCCTTAACCTACGATTTACGCTCGAGAATTTTGGGCCGGAAACGTAATGTTTATGTTTGACTCGTTCGTTTTATACGGGCTATGCCCGTAATATTTACTTCTGGCCCAACCATCGTACGCGGGCTATGCCCGTCATTGTAGGTTAAGGGGTTAAACTATCAAACCATATTTCTTCAATTAATATTTCCAACTTATTCATTAGTTCATTTTAATTTGGAAAATCCTGTATAAATAAATGTTTGAATGTTTTTACAAAATGTGTGAATGCATTTTTGTATTTTTGAAATGTTATTTGACATGTTTAAAGTAAAATGATTAATCCATCTTCAGTTACATTTTTAAACTTATATGTTTCACATCAAAATAATTTTTGTCCAAGTGTGCACTATTTCTCTACTCTCTTCTACACTTTAATGTCTTTTACACTTATGACAATTAGAAGTTGTAAAATTAACCAGAAATTAAAAAATGTTACTTTAAATTGTGAAATATTTAAGGTTATGTTCACGTACATCATTGCTTGTTGGTCAATAGGTTCTTTTAACGTTTCCATTATTTGTAATTAGTCTTATATACAGTTTTATAAATATTTTAGTTAACTGCACTGGAACAGAATATATAAAATTATACGATAAATGATTATTTAAACTACTTTATTTTAACCACGTGTAATCTATGTACCACCTGTACTACATATTACCAACTTCAGACTGAAAACGTACGCCAGCAAACTATAAAATGCGATATTGTATTTTGTCGGTAAACAGTATATTATTCGATATAAATTATTTGTAAATAATAATAGTAGCCAAGTTTAAAAACGTTTTTAAATTGGTTTAAAATCAATTTAATCTATGGACTATTTACAAAGAAAACATATTCGTCGGTAAACAATTTTCGAAAGACGTTTGGCGATGTACATACGCGTTAGCGATATTTATGAAATTGAACGTATATACCCAGTGATTTTTTTGATTTCTATGTTTCATGTATCATAAATTTTTCCTGTAATCATTTATGTGTATCCTCTTGTGTATATGACTGCCGAGTAAAAAATTGATAGTAGCATAACTATAGCATAAGTGTAGACGAGTTTATTGAAATCAGTTGAGTTGTGCAAAACGAGTATGTTTTTTCAACTAACCATAGTAGTGGACTGTACAATATCATTTTTTTTGCCAATTATTGACTTATGATGAAACAAAAGATTAAAATTTATACGAGATTAGTTATGTAATATAATAACTTGAAGTAACTCGTAAATCATTAACTGCAGACAACAACTTTTCAATCAAAAGTTGCATGTTTCCACAAACGCATACAGAACTATAACTGTGTTTCTTTTTGTTCTTTTATCGAAGTTCACTTTCAGTGTTATGTCCAACACTTTTTGGGGATTTGAATAAATAACGAAGTTTTGCCTTAATAAGTACTAGGAGTGATTCTTCAAGGTGTAATTGGAAATTCTGAGGATGTTTTTGAATAATCGTCGTCAAATTAAACAAAACCACAAGAAAGACAGTGAGTGATTATTTGATTAGAAAAGGAAGGTAATCTAGTTGTTAGTAGATTTGAATTTACCGCCACTCGAGTTCATATCCGGTTTCGGTCAGTATGTCAAAACATTTTTCAATCACGTAGTCATTTTAACATTTAAATGCGATATAAATTTGAGGTAAAAAAATAATATTTCCTAATATTTTCTTTTTTTTTTTAAATATTCTTTGTATAAGCATGTAGATGAATACGAAGCCGATCTTATAATTTTATGAAAAATATACTTCAATTTTAAGGAACGAATTGTTTATTAAATTGTTAAATTTAATTTAACAATTAAATTATTTCTTTATTTCGACATTGAAAAATTAAAAACTTTCAGCAATTTCATAATATATTGTTGAATGATTACATCTTTTACATTTATTTCTTCAAACTTCAAACACTCATTTTTCCCATGCATATGTAAATTGAATGATTAAATATTGTTACATGTTTTATATTTTATCTTTGTTGTATTCTAAATAAAACATAAAAGAATGTCGTCTTTTACATAAGGAATTTTTACAACAAAAAACTGCGACTATTATTATACTTTAAAAATCAAATTAAATTAATTTTAATTAAAAAATATTTTGTGAAATCTTACGTATACATTCACATAATAAATCTTATGAAAATGAAAAATTCATCCAATTTGTCAAGTGTTTCTTCGGATGTATCTCACATTATGCGTTATTCTCGATAACTTTTTATCTTTTAGTTACTTAACCCAATAGTTTGTGATATAGAAATCAAATAAAAAGATTACGGCGGCTAGGATTACTACCTGTTTGTGATTACATGTTCAGTTACATTAAAATTGGTCCTGTAACTTTTTACTTAAACTCGAATTACATAAACTAGCTTTTTATTTTCATCGTTTAAATATCCATTGTTTAAAAAGTAGTACTTATTCTGAAGTAGTAAACGTTTAAATGTGACTTACATAAACTAATTTAATGGCTATTAATATTAATATAATATATTAATTTAATGACAAAGTGATATTATTTTTCTTTGTGATGCTGTTTTGTGCGTGCTAGACAAAAAGTTTTATATAAGGAGTGCGTGTTTAATTAATGAAAACAGCCACATTTACTTATATGCTTCATATAAAAGTATAGAATATTACTCTGTGCAACCTAACGCTTTTATTTGTGTGCTGTCCGGCGAGATTTCTTGTGATATACAAAGTACATTTATGATATACAAAGGAATGTTATACAGTGTCATAAGTAGTTTTATACAGTATTATCGCGGCTTGAATTTATGAAATGTACACTCTTCTATGCCTCAAAATGATTTGAATACCACACATACAATTACTCTCGCAAACTTAAAATTCAAAAATATCAATGTTCACGAGCTATTCAATTCTCGCTGGATTTCTATCGAAGATTTGCCTTTAGTCTCGGGAACTACGAAGTATACAAACAAAGTTCCAACAGCACTTATTGCAGAAAGTATCCAATATGTAGGTCCCGTATGAATGGCTTCTTTTACATCGTCGTAACATTTAGTTATAATAAAAGCAAATAACCAGCTTAAAACAGCGGCACTACTTGCAGCTACACCTTTTACCTCTGGTACGAAAAGTTCACCCAGCATCACCCACGCGATAGGGCCAAAACCGACGTTATACGCGATAATAAAGACGCATACTGATGCCAAAGGTAACCAATTAATTGCATCAACATCCTTCCCGTTTTCTACAAGATAGAAATATACTCCAAGAGCAGCAGTTGATAGGCACATGAATACTGCAGACAAGAGCAACAATATTCTTTTACCTACACGATCTACCACCAACGCACTTGCAACGACAGTTACTACTTGCATTACACCTACAATAATACTTGAATTACTGGCGTTTAAAGTACTCCCAGTTTCTTTGAGAATAATGCCAACGTAAAAGATAATCGCATTTATACCGCAGAATTGTAGAAAAAACATGAGGCCATAAGAAATTATGAAACCTTTTATAGTAGCCTTCGATTTTATCGAAACGAAAAACGATTTTTTGATCTTAGCATTTTCTTCTAGTATTTTCCGTTGCTTTCGCAATTCGCCCTCTACATTGTATTTATCGCCGCGTAATTTAATTAAACTTTTTCTCGCGGAATCTTCGTCGCCTTTTTGCAAATAATGTATAGGCGATTCTGGCATGAATATGAAAGTTCCAAAAAATATAAACGGCGTAATAGCAGATATAATAGATAATGTATACATGTTGACAAAACTTCCAATTATATAAGATAATAAAATGCCTACAGCAAAGAGTAACTGAAAATAAGATCCTAAACTTCCACGAATCTTATCCTCGGCTATTTCTGTGGTGTATATAGGTAAGGCTACACAAAAAGCTCCAACACTAATACCACCCATGAATCTACCGACATAAAACATAAGTACTGAGTTGGCAAAAATGATAAACAGCCAGCATATAGTAAGGGGTACTATCATTGCAAGTATTGTATTTTTTCTCCCCACATTATCACAGAGGATTCCGGTAGGAATGCACATCACTGCTGCTCCAAGTGTAGCTATTGAACTAATCCATGAAAAGTCAGTTGGAGATATTTCTATATTGTATACAGATTCTAGTGACTTTCCATCAATACCAGCAGAGGAGGTCCATCCTAGTATCAGACCAGCTACTAATGCTCCAAGACATGATGAAAAACTGGCAATATGTTGTGGCAATTTTTTGGCAGGTATATCTTCATTTCTTACATTAGGTACTAACATATGTTGTGATTTTGTAACACCTTTCTCGTGCATCTTTGATGTTAAAAGTTATTTGTATAAGTACCTAAAAATAATTTAGTGAACAATAATTTTATTTTAGAAAAAGACACATTCGTTAATAATTAAATTGGAACAAAATCGTTTAAATTTATAATGAAATTAACGTTAAATCTGATAATCACATTTTTTAAGATAAACAAATTTTAAGTACTCTCTCTTTGATATTTTTCTGTTGTGTGATATCCATTTGTCCGTCGATTATATTGCATAAAAGTAGGCAAATATTTTATTAACGTAATTTCATCACAGTACTTTGTCGTTACGTTTTGTTACGCACTTTGCTGCTAATATAAAAACGTGAATAACTTCTTGAAACGTTGAATAAAACTGTTTTCTTACTGAGGACCGATTGGATTTTGAAACATCTATCTCTGATGAGCACTTGACAAATTCGGTTCCTTGAAATCATTTGGTCCTAATCTGCTGTATCTGTATACTATCTCTTGATTTGAAGTTAACATAACAATTGTTGCATAAAGAATTTATGAATGAACCACCTATGTGAATATTGGTGATATTTTTTAACATTGGTGAATATTTGTTGAATATTTTCTAATAAAGTAATTTCTAGGTCATGGTTAAATTACATCAGAGTGCGATACGTTTATAAATCTGGAAGAAGTATCTTATTGTATTAATAAGGCTCTATCTTATCTTCTGTATGGAATTTGAACATTGGAGAGTATTTAAAATTGAACTAAATACCTCATTTCTTTTTTAGCCGCTAGGTGGTACATAATGCATTCCCGCCATTTTATTGAAACAACATTTGGTCAAAGTGGTGGAACAAGGAGGGATTCGCTTCTTTTAATACCTTGATAAAGAATACGGATAAAAATTTATATATTCTATATTACCGACGAGATAATAATAAAGTGTGCGAACTGTTTCGAACACAAAATCCGCATCTTCGGACCTACGGAATATATTGCAAATAGCATTTTCATGTTGACAGTAAATACATTAACAACATTCAGTATTGCTGCTTCTAGCAAAAACTACATCAAACCTACTCAGAGAGTATTTCCTTTATATTAAGAAAACGAGTAGTTATACCACGCTTAATACAAGTCGGTAAAATTTAGTCCTCCTCTGAACGCCACATTTGTCTTACGCACCGCCATCTAGCGGAGGACGATGGGAACTAATTAAACTACAGTTTCAAAAGTGTGTAGTTCACCCTTTTCGCCGGAGAGATGGCGCCACCTGTTCCATTTTCGTAAAAAATTCAATTAATATTGATTTTATTGATTAATATATTATATATTAATTAATATTCATTTTATGGTGTTTGCAATATATTCCGTGGGCCCGAAGATGCGTTATGTGTTCAGAACAGTTCGCAACTATACTGTAACTCGTCGATGACACAGGGAATGACATAAGTATGGCAAAAAATTTTCTTTCAAATCGTAAAAACCATTCTCATAGATATTTCCTGTTACAAATAGGAGTTTATTTACAAAATTTGGTTAAGAATGGAGCATGACGTTTTCCGAAGTTTCGGCCGGAATTTAAAAATAAGTACAGTAATCTTTTGTGTGTCGGTATCGTTACGCGCTGTTTTATTGCCTCGTCAGTAAAACTAAAAATTAGTTTAACAGACTGCCATAATACAGGGGTACTGATATTTATTTTCTACTAACATAACTCACCCCAGTTAACAAAAATTACCATCGTTATTAGTAAATTTAAAAATCTTGTGAATATTATAATAAAAATAATAATTTTGAAATAATAGAAATAATTTCGTCTGAATTTTTCGGTTTCAGAAATATTTTTTAGTCGTCCGCTTACTCCTTGACATCCTTTTACACCAGATGCTCCTTCTTTATTAACATTTATCCTTCTCTGTGTATACAATGGCATAAACAAACCCCCAGATAAATTTAATATCTTAAATTTTATAATTCGTGTTCAGCTATCTTTATAAAAATCAATCGTCTCAAATACTTACACTGCTAATTTTCTTCTTTACATTCACTGAAAGTGCATGAAGTGTATTACATGGTTATCGTTGTAATATCTGCACACAGAAAGTAATTTAAAACAATCCAATAATGCTATAATACAGTACTAATTAGCCATTACATATGATATAATCCGATAAGTTTCGATAAGATTGTAAGTAACGAACTTTAAACACGACAGATTTGACATATTTTATGTATTAGATAAATATTATTTAATTCGATAAGAATAATCCAAATAATAACAAACAAGATTGATATTAACATTTACCGTGTGTCAGGTGAATGCAGATTTGCCTCTTTATTTGATACACTGCGTGTACACTATAAATTTATTAAGGTGAAGTGGGGTAAGTGCAGATTGGTTTTTGTAAAGTTGGTGTTTAAACATAAGTAATTTCAGTCTGCTATGTAAATACTAAACGCTGTCGATATCGAACGCTTTGCACAATTACTATTTAATTATTATTAACTAGGACCTTCATTTTCCTTGTACATTTTCATTTTGATAGGATATCGTTTAAAATGTCAACTAGTCTGCACTTTCCCCAAAAATGGGGTAAGAACGTAACTTGAAGTTAAAATACTTTGTAACTTCATTTCATGTGCAATGGGGCAAGAGCAGAATTGTTAACAAATCTGCTATAAAATGCTTTTTATTGCATTATGCAAGTACTCTATACTGCAAACAAGTACTCTTAGCTGAAATATAAAAGGGGATATAGTAAAACAAAAAAGGAAATAAACATACTAAATGGAGAAATTTCGCTCATATTGTAATAAAAGTAGCCTGTATACGCATTTGCCCGCTTACGAGCTTACCCTACTTCACCTTATTTTTATAAATAGACGTCAGTCATATTTAATTCTTAATAGTTTAGCAGATGATGTTTGATAATGGTGAGAATATTTTTCTACATTATTATTCTTATTTTATATGAAATTTATTGTAATAATAGCTATTACATATTAATAGTTTTACTGTCTTAATGGAGCACTTAAATTTGATAGAGAGAAATACTGAAAAAAAGTTAAACACTTGACAAAAAGTGTTAGGTATCCTTCGAAGATTATTATGTACTCTACAAACATGTAGTACTCATGAAATAATGTGCTTACTTGTACAACAGACGTCACTCTAAAAGTTTTACGTAATAATGAACCTATCGTCATTTACGTACGAATCTGATAAAATACTTGTTAATATTATCTAGTCTATTATTTAGTTTTTTATCTAGTATATTATATATATAATATATATTATCTATTAGGTATCTATGGTTTTGATACAGTATCGGAGTAATTTAACATTTTTGAACATGACTTTTTTCATGGTGAATAGTTTTTTATGATTCTGAGAGAAACAAACTATTTATGTATAGAATAGACAAGTCTTTTAATTTTCCACTATTTTTTAGGATGAAGATGGACTCATTGATGTATCGCTCGAAGCAACCATTTTGCTGAAAAGAAGGAACCAAGTGTGCTTTCCGAATTATTTGTGACACAAGCCTCATATTTTCCTTCCTTAGATCTCGCACAATCTAATGAATTTTACAATTACAATGAATTTTCGCAATTATATGTTGCAGAATTTAATTGCAGCCACATGTTACAAAATTTTGATACGGTTACATGACACTAAATTTAATTTTAGATACTTGTTGACAAACTTAATGACTGTTATATAACACAAAATTTAATTTTAGATACATGTTGACAAATTTAATAACAGTTACGTGTTGCAAAATTTAATTATAGTTATATGTTGCAGAATTTAATTATAGTCACACGTTAAAAAATTTAGATACAGTTACACGATGCAAAATTTAATTATAAATACATGTTGTAAAATTTAATTATAGTTATATGTTGCAGAATTCAATTACAGTCACACGTTAAAAAATTTAGATACAGTTACACGATGCAAAATTTAATTATAAATACATGTTGTAAAATTTAATTATAGTTATATGTTGCAGAATTCAATTACAGTCACACGTTAGAAAATTTAGATACAGTTACATAGTACAAAATTGAATTATATAATAGTTACATATTATAAAATTGAAATACCGTTATGTATTAAAAAATTTAAATATAGTCACACGTTATGAAATCTAGATACAGTTACATGATACAAAATTTAATTATAGTTACATGTTGCAAAATTTAATAATGACAGTCACACGTTACAAAATTTAAATACTGTTACGTATTAAAAAATTTAAATATAGTCACATGTTGCAAAATTTAAACGCCGTTACAAGGTAGAAAATTTAATTACAATCAAATGTTACAAAATTTAATTATAGTTACATAATACAAAATTTAATTATAGTTACATGTTGCAAAATTCAATTACAGTCACACGTTAAAAAATGTAAATACAGTTACATGCTACAAAATTAAATTACAATAGAGTTTATCATGATCACTTTGGGACTTGCAATTCTCGACAACAATAAACAAATACTAACAAATTATTGAAAAAAATTGTTACTACTGAATCGAACTCATTGTAAATAATTATGAACTTCGCACAATATCTATTTATCACAAACTCGATACAACACTACATATTATGTACATAACAATTTATATAAACGATTATTTTTGAAAACAAAATTTATTCGTGGAACTTATCAAGCTTCCGCTATTGATATGTTTGCGCCAAAGTACGGTTTGCAGAAAATGATTCCTTTCGTACGAATTTGTTAAGAGTTCTTAATCTCTCTCGTTATCAAAACTGATAATATTAATCTCAATATGATTGTAATAGATGGAATATTCTGAGCAGTTTTATGGAAAGTATTTTGGGACCGATTATGATAACAATAACCGGCTGACAACGTTGTTCATGACTAGAACACTTCCTGTAGTACCGAAAGTTTTTTGCAAATATTCCAAAAATTATGACCGAATAGTGCTAATATGTATAAAGTAAAATTGTTCAAAATATTTATTCCTACAAGATGTTTAAAAATCATGGAAATCGGTGATACTATTCTCTTTTTAATGAATATTCAAAATTCTTCCACGTGCATTTGCTGGTCTATCGTCGATGAGGATGAAGATGGAAAACAAAAAGTAGTTTGCATATAAACACCGTGGTATGTTAGTCTTCACATGTGAGGAGAACAACATTCTGGAATTTCCCAAGTTGATTAATGAGCGTAACGGTTTAATGAACTAGGAAAAACCTAATTCGTGTTGACTGTGATCCGCTACTTCTAATACATTTATTTATGAAGTTATTATTTCATAAAAATCTCAGGAATCTTGTGTCAATACCAAGAATTCATGAATTGCGGAAAATTTCTCGACATTCGACATCAAGAAGTTAACAGCTTAGAATTACAAAAAATGACCGACAATATTGAAATAATTTGAACGTTTCACTCTTAACATTTTGGAACTTGGGAATCTAGAAATCTGAACGTTACGACGTTTTTGGTACTTTCCGAATAATTTTAATAGGAAAAAATTACAAACACCACGACGTACATTTTTACTCAATGTTACAATTACATAGTTGATTTTATATATACATATATCACAAAATATTACAATGTTTTATCAAGTGTGCATGATATCACTGCATTTCTTTTGTTCTACAATTATTCAGTTAGATTCTATACAATTATTAAGTTACCTCAGAATCCATATAATTATTAGCTACAGCATTTTACGTTCACACATGCATCATAAATTAATTATTGTATAAAACATTTTCATTCACCCCATTTACATATGTACATTTACTTAACTTAAAACGTTATTAAACCCGTATCATACGCAAAGTTTAAAGTAACAAAATCATGAATTTGCCAGATCCCTTTGAATATTTACTAAGGACATTCCTTTTGTTTCAGGAACTAGGATAATTACGAAGAAAATTCCTATAGCACTCATTAAAGAAAACAACCAAAATGTAGGACCAATACCAATAGCTATTACTAAATCATTATAAAATTTAGTTACAAAGAAAGCTAACAACCAGTTCAGAAGGGCGGCACTGCTTACAGCCACACCTTTTACTACTGGTGCAAAAATTTCACCAAGCATCATCCATGGAACAGGTCCGAAACCGAGGCTGAATGCAACAATAAAGACACATACAGATAATAAAGGTAACCATTCAATTGCGCTAACATCATGGCCATCATGTGAGAGAAAGAAATATAAACCGAGAGCAAAAGTTGATAGGCACATGAATATTGCAGATCCTATTAACAACATCTTCCTACCTAAGTGATCTACAGTTAGTGAGCTTATAAGTACAGATACTATTTGTGTTACACCTACAATAATGGTAGATGTACTAGGACTTAGAGCACTACCAGTTTGTTCAAAAATAATGGTGATATAAAAGACAATAGCGTTCATACCACTTAGCTGTTGAAAAAACATGAGGCCCCAAGAAATTATAAAAGCTCTTACGGTAGCTCTAGATTTGAGAACGACGAAAAAAGTCGCTGCCATTTTAGCATGTTGTTCAAGTGTCTCTCGTTGCTCTTGTAATTCATTCTCAACATTATACTGGCTGCCACGTAATTTTATTAAACTTTTCCTTGCAGAGTCTTCGTCGCCTTTTTGTACATAATAAATTTACGTTCACACATGCATCATAAATTAATTATTGTATAAAACATTTTCATTCACCCCATTTACATATGTACATTTACTTAACTTAAAACGTTATTAAACCCGTATCATACGCAAAGTTTAAAGTAACAAAATCATGAATTTGCCAGATCCCTTTGAATATTTACTAAGGACATTCCTTTTGTTTCAGGAACTAGGATAATTACGAAGAAAATTCCTATAGCACTCATTAAAGAAAACAACCAAAATGTAGGACCAATACCAATAGCTATTACTAAATCATTATAAAATTTAGTTACAAAGAAAGCTAACAACCAGTTCAGAAGGGCGGCACTGCTTACAGCCACACCTTTTACTACTGGTGCAAAAATTTCACCAAGCATCATCCATGGAACAGGTCCGAAACCGAGGCTGAATGCAACAATAAAGACACATACAGATAATAAAGGTAACCATTCAATTGCGCTAACATCATGGCCATCATGTGAGAGAAAGAAATATAAACCGAGAGCAAAAGTTGATAGGCACATGAATATTGCAGATCCTATTAACAACATCTTCCTACCTAAGTGATCTACAGTTAGTGAGCTTATAAGTACAGATACTATTTGTGTTACACCTACAATAATGGTAGATGTACTAGGACTTAGAGCACTACCAGTTTGTTCAAAAATAATGGTGATATAAAAGACAATAGCGTTCATACCACTTAGCTGTTGAAAAAACATGAGGCCCCAAGAAATTATAAAAGCTCTTACGGTAGCTCTAGATTTGAGAACGACGAAAAAAGTCGCTGCCATTTTAGCATGTTGTTCAAGTGTCTCTCGTTGCTCTTGTAATTCATTCTCAACATTATACTGGCTGCCACGTAATTTTATTAAACTTTTCCTTGCAGAGTCTTCGTCGCCTTTTTGTACATAATAAATAGGTGATTCTGGCATAAACACGAATACTCCAAAAAATATGAACGGTGCAATAGCGGATAGAATAGATAATACGCGTATGTCCACAACACTTCCCAGAACATAGGACAATAAAATGCCAATATTTAGAAGTAATACAAAATAAGATCCTAGACTTCCACGAATCTTAGCTTCTGCTATTTCTGCCGTGTACATAGGCGCAACTACGCAAAATGCTCCAACACTAATGCCAGCAATGAATCTACCAAAATAAAACATAAGAACGGAGTTGGCGAAAATGATGAGTAACCAACCGGCAGTAAAGGGTATTATTGTCAAAAGCAACGAAAGTTTCCTTCCTATGAAGTTAGTAAGAATTCCAATAGGAATACATGCAAATGCACCTCCAAGTGTAGACAGTGAACTAATCCATGAAAATTCAATTTCAGAAATTTCTATTCCATATACATTTTGTAGAGCTCTTCCACCGATACCAGTAGAAGCCGTCCAGCTTAATACCATTCCAACTGCTAAACCTCCAAGTGTTGATGACAAACCGGCTACATATTGAGGCAATTTTTTGGCAGGTATATTTTCATTGCCAACGAATGTCTTTTGTGAAATTCCAACGATTTTCTCCTTCATCGTTAGCAAAAATTATTTCAATATCTGAAAATAATTCGGTAGATAATTACTTTTGTCGGGAAAATTATATTACTTATTAATTGAATCTTATTTAAAATTACTTGAGTTTATATTGCACTGATGGTACTTGTATTCTTCAATACGAAGAATTAAGAAATAAATTTTTCGCAAACTGGTTTTAATATCCTTTGTCCATGTGACGTCTGTTTGTTTATTGATTGTTACACAGAATTACATTATTACTGTGGGTATATTTATGAGTATACAAGAATTAATGAATATGTTAATAATTTATTGGCAAGTCAATTTATTGTTTAATAATATTTTGTCACCAAGTTCTTCCACGTGCCGGTTAAATAAAAAACTGAAAGGTACACTGGAAAAATTGAAAGGAACTGTTTCTTTGTCGAAGTCTAATTTATACTTATGGGCATTTGAGGAGGACGTCAACATTGGAAGTATCTGTTTCTTATCAGTGATACCACCGAAATACGATTAATTGAGATTTAAGCGTCGTGGTTGTTTATTTCATACTTATTAATAACAAAAGTGAACGTCTGACTGTTGTCTGTAAGACACTTCTTATCTCATGATTACCTTTGTTTACATATATATATTCTAATATCTACCCTAATTTTAATCCAGTTTCACGGTTGCTGCGTAAATAAATACCCAATAAATTCGAACGAATTATGTAATATTCATAAATAGCATTTTGATCAAATAATTTCTTATAATGAATAGCTGGGATCAGTTTGCAATCGATTGGTGCAGATTAAAGCACATGACATGATAATAGAATTATAAAGATATTATTTTGCATACATTAATACACATTAGAATTATACATATACGGATATGAATGGACGCATCAAATGTAAACAGTGATTTCTTTGCATCAATATTATTTACTTTACAATTTATTATTAACTTATTATTAGGTAAGTTTTGCTAACTGCGAGCAAGTGAATTTACATAACATGTGTTATTAATCACGTATTATACGATTATTGATTATTGGTATTAATCGACGGCAACGATGGCCAGTTAATGTGAGGTATTACCGTCAATATAATAATCGGACCATATTTCAAAAAAGGAATACTTATTACTGAAAAATGTGGAAACTTTCTAAATTTGATAAAGAGAAATACTGAAGAACCATATTTCAAAAAAGGAACACTTATTGCTGAAATATATGGAAACTTTTTAAAATTTGAGCTCGATATTTTATTAGAAGTACGACTAAACTGACATTAAACAATGTGGTATCAAGAAGAGGTGTTTCGCTCATTATGGAGATGAAGTGCTAGCAGTTTGTGGCAATTCAAATGACGCGCCAAGGAAGGATCGCGACTGATCTAATAGATTCGCGATTTATTGAATTATTGATTCGTAATAAGCAATTCGCTTGGGTCTGGTCAGTTGCTTGTTACGAATCAGGTATACTATTCGGCTTGCCTTTGTTCTCAAACGGCGACGACGGCGACCGCGTAGAAAAATCAGGGGTTAGGTCTAGCGGTAAACTATAAACTGTAAAGTGATCGGTCAAGCAGCGATGTTATTCTTTAGGCAAGGATAGAACATAACATGCTTTTTGAGAAAAAATATACTGTTCCATTTGAAAAACGAAACTTCACCATCATATCTTTTACATTAATAACATTAAAAAATTTTATTTGCGCCAAGACATAGAGCTCCTTTTATTCTGCAATTTCCATATAAACACTTTTTCGTGTTATCAATAGTTCATGAAATATCGTGCTGTTACACTTAAACGTGGACGCCCTGTATATCCAGGTTTATCCTGCCTGTACCGACTCTCGTGTCGAGCTAACTAAAAACTTGCAGCTTGGATGGTTAGAGCCTAACACGGTCAACTTTTAACAGATTTAACTGTAGTAAAGCTAGCTACATATTCGACCTTTGGTTTTTCCAAATTATTTTATGATCTCATTAATCGGCGACGACCTACCATTTTTGGACATGAATTTTCTTTAATAGTTTATTTCAACAAATACAAATAATTTAGTTTTGATCCGAAATAAGCAACTGTAAGACTCGAGGGTAGAAATTCATTATACTCTCTTTTTTAACACGTATTTTCTTGCAAATATAATAAATCAGTAAAAGCAAGAAACTGTAAACTGTAAACGAAGCTCAGGCAAATACCCGTATTGTGTTCCGTCGAACCAAACAGGTACCCTTAGGGTTTATTAGAAATCTTACGAACACACTGACTTTCTCTACCATTCGTTCCTTTCTTTGTCTCCTTTACTCCATTGTCTACTAGTTTGAACTTCTTCGACTGTTTTATGTCACCTAAACAGGCCTCTTTAGAATATTCGTTGGGCTCAAGATTTTTTCAAGGACCCGTTTAAATCACTTTCCCCTACATTCTAGTTTACTACTCCCTTTCTAAACATCTACTCTAAAAATTAGCCAATGACCTTTGCAGCTCTCTCACCCTTATCCTAAAGATCAGCCAATAGTTTCTTTTCCAAAGTTTACGTTCTTCCTGTGAGCGACGTTTTTCATCAAATTCTATACGGAACTCATTGAGGAAACGTGTATTTACAAGCAAAGGAGTTAAAGTTTTAACTTTATATTTTGTTGAGGATGAACTTGAAGAACAGAATGACAAAACAAGCGGACAGGAATCAAAAAGAAATAGATCAAACGACAGAAAGCGAATATTACAATTTAATAGAACAAAAAAAGAAAGATTTAGACTTACTACAAAGTATTATTAGAAAATACGCAAATGGTAATCGGGCAACCTTAATGCTGGGAGACGCGTTAAGGATATTTTTAGAAAATGAACCGCCACAAATAAAGGACGAAAATAATTGACAAGGTGGATCAGGGATTCTAACAATTCGAAAAAGGTAAGTATCAAACTATTTAAAACAAATATCTTTAAACATTAAACTTAATTATGTGTTTTTTTACATGTTCATCTGACTGGTTCGTGCTTTCCTTTTGAAGAATAGCCATGGACTGAAGATTTCATATTATTTACACATCTAATATATATTGTACCTGTTTTATAGAAATTATATACTCCACGCGTTGCATATTGTATTGATTATTATTCATTTTATATAGTTCATATAATATTATATATTGCATATAGTGTATTAAATAATTTTAAACTTAAATAATTTTTCCTTTAACTTCTTTTATATTTGTGTTAAATAGATTAATTAAAATTATAGATAAAATGTACCTCAAATTATTCATCACTATCAGCCATTAGATTTAAAAAAAAAAAGCATATTGATGTAATATAATTTCGGAGAATATACTTTTGTCCCGACGATTTCTTGAAGTCTCGTGCATTTCGATTCATTTCAAGTTACTACATGATGTTATTGCCTTCAGTTTTGAGTCATTTGTTGCTGCAAGTGCTATGTATAATATACATACAGCTATACATGATTAAATATACTTAATAATATAGAAAATATTGCAGCTTCTATTTCTATATTTCAAGTGTACAAATATTTTTGTCTTCCACTTATACCCTCACGTAAAGTAAGAGATACTATTAATATTATGTTCCCGAATCGATGTATAGGTCGTGGCAGACAAATTTCATGGACAGCTTGTTAGCCCGACATAACACATTACATTTCCTTTTGTAAGAAATATTAAAAAACATCAGTATTAATATTTACTTATTTTATTAACTGTATTACAGTAATTATTTTATAAATATAATATTTTGGATATAAGTTTATTTTGTATGTTATATTAGGGGAACCGAAATGTATTCAAAATTTTTTCGATGACTTCAAAGTTTCTCTATGTAAAATCGAAGGCCTTTTTTTAAGAAGGGAATCGAACAATTGCCTTTACGCTGGAAAAAAGTGTTAGAAAATGATGGAAATTATTTTGTTGATTAACATTTAAGATTTCTTGAATAAATAAATGTTTTTTGTCAGCAAACAAAATTTTGATTACTTTTCGGTCCCCCTAATACAATTTATTTGGTACAACGTTTTTGTTATGCACAGTCAAAATGTTCTTCAATCAAATATTAAATGTTCACAATCAAATACCTATAGTAAGATAGGCACAGTACATTCATAATATGCAAAGTATAAGTCACAGTTCGAATTGATTGCATATACATTTTTCTACACCTCAGAATGATTCGGAAACCACACTTACAATTACTCTTACAAACTTAAAATTTAAAAATATCAATATTCACGACCTATTCAATACTCGCTGGATTTCTGTGAAAGATTTCCCCTTAGTCTCGGGAACTACGAAATATACAAACAAAGTTCCAATAGCACTTATTGCAGAAAGTAACCAATATGTAGGGCCCGTATGAATAGCTTTTTTTACATCGTCGTAACATTTAGTTACAAAAAAGGCAAATAGCCAGCATAACACAACAGCACTACTTGCAGCTACGCTTTTTACCTCTGGGACGAACAGTTCACCCAGCATCACCCACGGGATGGTTCCGATACCGACGTTATGCGCAATGATAAAGGTACATACTGATGCTAAAGGTAACCAATTAATTGCACCAACATCCTTCTCATTTTCTAGAAGATAGAAATATGCTCCAAGAGCAGCAGTTGATAGGCACATGAATATTGCAGACAATATCAACAATATTCTTTTACCTACACAATCTATAATCAATGAGGTTACAAAGACAGTTACTACTTGCATTAAAGCCACAATAATACTTGAATTACTGGCGTTTAAAGTACTGGCAGTTTGATCGAAAATACTGGCAGCGTAAAAGATAATCGCATTTATACCGCAGAATTGTAGAAAAAACATGAGGCCATTAGAAATTATGAAACCTTTTATAGTAGCCCTCGATTTTATCGAAACGGAAAACGATTTTTTGATCTTAGCATTTTCTTCAAGCATTTTCCGTTGCTTTCGCAATTCGTCCTCTACATTGTATTTATCGCCACGTAATTTAATTAAACTTTTTCTCGCGGAATCTTCGTCACCTTTTTGCAAATAATATATAGACGATTCTGGCATGAACATGAAAGTTCCAAAAAATATAAACGGCACGATAGCAGATATAATAGATAATGTATACATGTTGACAAAACTTCCAATTATATAAGATAATAAAATGCCTACAGTGAAGAATAAGTGAAAATAAGATCCCAAACTTCCACGTATTTTATCCTCAGCTATTTCTGATATGTATATAGGTGTAGTTACACCAAAGGCTGCAACACTAATACCACCAATGAATCTGCCAATAAAAAGCATAAGTACTGAGTTGGCAAAAATGATAAGCAGCCAGCACATAGTAAGGGGTATTATCATTGAAAGCATTGCTTTCTTTCTCCCCAGGATATCACAGAGCATCCCAGTAGGAATGCACATCAGTGCTGCTCCAAGTGTAGTTATTGAACTAATCCATGAAAAGTCAGTTGAAGATATTTCTATATTGTATACAGATGCTAGTGACTTTCCATCAGTACCGGCAGAGGAGGTCCATCCTATTATCATGCCAGACGTTAATGTTCCAAGACATGATAAGAAACTGGCAATATGTTGTGGCAATTTTTTGGCAGGTACATCTTCATTTTTGACATTAGGTACTACTGTATGTTGTGACTTTGCAACACCATTTTCGTGCATCTTTGTTAAAAGTTATTTGTATAAATACCTAAAAATAATTTAGTGAATCATTTTTTTTTAGAAAAGGGAACATTTGTTAATAATTAAATTGGAGCAAAATCGTTTAAATTTATAATAAAATTATCGTTAAAACTGATAATCACATTTTTTAAGATAAATAAATTTTAAGTACTCTTACATTGATATTTTTCTGTTATGTAATATCCGTTTGTACGTCGATTATATTGCGCAAAAGTAGGCAAGTATTTTATTCGCACAATTTTATCACAGCATGCTAAATTTTGCTACTCACCTCGTTAGACGAGTAAACACTTCAGTAAGTACTTGAACGAGACTGTTTCGTTATTGTGGGCCGATTGAATATTGAAATATTTCTCGCTGATGGACACTTGACAAAATCATTACCGTGTGACCATTTGATCCTAATCTGCTACATATACACACTGTCTTTTAATATATATTTTAATTTATTAAGGTATATATAATTTAAATTAACTTAATAAATGTTACGTAATGAAATTACAAATTAGTAAAACAATTGTTACGGATAGTTAAATATATTTTAATGAAGTAATTTCTTGTTGAGGTGGTTGTTATCTTAAATCACTGTCAGGATCTATGTGTGTGTGATATATCAATCTTATGGAAGCAATGAATTATCTTATCTTACATTTTTTGAATTGTTTCCGAACCATACACAAGAACTTATTTAAAATTGAACTGTCAACCTGATTTCTTTTTCTGTCGGTATAACGCGACATTATACTGAAACTACAGTTGGTAAAGTAGCGGTGAAAGAAGCGGTGGAAAGCTTTTTCCAATACCTTGTTCTGAATTCAGGAAGAGAATATTAACTTATAATTTTAGTAACGTTCATGTAAAATTTAAATATAAATATGTACAGATTTGTGGGTCGATACTGTCGTGCTCTGCTTTATTGTCTCGCAAATAAAGCCGGAAATTAAGGTACAATGGTCTTTCATAATGCACAGGTACCATTTTTGTATTTATTCGATTCTTCGTATTCAATTACATTTATTGCAGTTAAAAATTAGTTTTGTTATTAATAATTTCGGAAATCATATCTTGAATACTAAAATAAATATAATTGTGAACATTAAATATAAAAATAATGTTTTTAAAGAAGAGATAATTTCTTCTGGGTATTTTTAGAAATATTTTTATATTGTACCCTTATACTTCGACAACATTTTATACCTGATGCTCCTTTTCAACATTTATCCTTTAAATTAAATGTATAGTTTGTATTTAGTTATCTTCTTCAAAATCAAGAACACTTCACAAATACTACCATTTTTCTTTATACTGTCCCTGGCTGTCGAATTGGGACCATTATAAATTTTTCACGTCTTTCGTAAAATTAAAAGGCCTGTTCAAATTGTAATATTTATTAGCTAGTAACATTACTACTGTACATAACATTATTAACACAAGTTAATATCTTGTATTTTCTTTGCTTTGGTCACAGCGCATGTTACGTATACATTGATCATATGTTTTATATTTTCACTATTTTCCCAAATATCTGTAATTCTTTTGTAAGCTAGTCTTTCGAACAAGCTCCATTTTCTATGGCGTTCACCAAATTTCACCTGACGCGCCATCGATACTCGAGACAAAGGTAAACGCTCGCACGACCCTCAATCGCTCATTACCCACAGAATTTATTATCACGATAGTAACAAATTGCTATGTATATATCGTTAACATCGTATTTAGTAATAATTTGCGTGACCTAAGACAATTTTCCATATATTATAAAGTTATAGCTATAAAAGTGAAATTTTCGTACGTGGTCCTAATTCCAAGGCCACGGACCGTATTTATTGAAAATACATGAAGTATATTACTGCACATGGTTATCCCTATAATATTTGCCCACAGAAAATCGATTTAACGGATCTAATAATACTATAACACAGTAATAATTAGCTATTGTATATTATGCAATCTATTAAGTTTCCATAAAATTGTATGTAACAAAATTTAGCACGATGCATTTACTCATTTTACGTGTTAGATAAATGCTATTTTTGGTAAGAAATATCCAAATAGCAGAAAAAAGAAGTGAAGTTGACATTTACTGTATTTTAGAAGGAATGTAGCAATGCTTCTTCATTTGATAATCTGCATATACAAGATAAAATAATTATTACAAATCAACGGCAGCCATTTTTAACTCTTCAGATTTGCGCCGAGGATATCTGATAAAGGTGAGAATACATCCCTACATTATTACTCTTATTTTGCAATAATTCAGTTGCCTCAGATTTTATAAAATTATCAGTTGCTGCATATTAAATTGGCTAATATAATTACGAGTAATCTAATCATAATTATAATTAACCTAATCTTTTGTATTCAGCGATTTTATTTTAGTATCTGGAATGTCCCCACACGGCAAATATTGGAATATCAAATCTTAAAATATTTAGATGTTATGTAAAAGAATTGGTATAAAATGCCTCTACAAAAGAAATAAGAGACATGAAAAGGGCATAATAAATCATACAATATGATAAACGTGTACATTTATTATAACAACAATATGTTGTATCACTATCATATAACAGCCATAAATTTCATTGAGAAAAAAAACATTTTAGCGCGAAAGAAACTAAACGACGATCGCAATTTACAAAACTTAAAACTATACCAGCATACATGATTGAATAATTTTAACATTATTGACATGATAAAGATATTTTCAGACTTTCCGTTATTAAAACGTCATTAATAGCTAACTTTATCTGTACAACCTATATAAGTACTCTGGAAATTAATTTTAAATAATCGTAGCAATAAAAGATTTCAACGTACACGAAAAACAAGTAAATAAGAAGATACATTTTTACATTTGTCTATTAGATGAAACGATATGCGGTTTCATTAACTTTTTACTGGCAATTAACGCAATGACGTATTATTTTATAGTCTAACCCTTTTACGGATATAACAAACTAATCATTACATAAAGTTTTATCTACGTCTGCACGTTTTACATACATACATAACTTAAACGTAACTTAACTTACTTACATAACATAAAATGATATTAATAGGTAAAGTGCAAATTACCAATAATCACGAGTTTTCCAGATCCTTTTGAATATCTACCAAAGATTTGCCTTTTGTTTCAGGAACTAGGAAATATACGAAGAAACCTCCCATACCGCTTATTATAGAAAACAACAAAAATGTAGGACAATTACCAATAGCTATTACTAAATCATTATAAAATTTAGTTACAAAGAAAACTAACAACCAGTTTAGAAGAGCAGCACTACTTGCAGCCACACCTTTTACTTTTAGTGCAAAAATTTCACCAAGCATCATCCATGGAAGAGGTCCGAAACCGATGTTGAATAAAGCAATAAAAGTACATACAGACAATAAAGGTAACCATTTAATTGAGCTAACATCATAGCCACCTTGCAAGAGGTAGAAATATAACCCAAGAGCAAAACTTGAAAGATACATGAATATTGCAGATCCTATTAACAATATCCTTCTACCTAAATGATCTACAGTCAATGAGCTTATAAGGATAGCTACTATTTGTATTGCACCTACAATAATGGTGGACATGTTAGGATTCATAGCACTACCAGTTTGTTCAAAAATACTGGTGGCATAAAAGATGATAATATTCAAACCGCTTAGCTGTTGAAAGAACATGAGGCCGTAAGAAATTATAAAGGCTTTCACAGTAGCTCTAGATTTGAGTACGACGAAAAAAAACGTTGCCATTTTAGCATGTTGTTCAAGTGCCTCTCGTTGCTCTTGTAAATCATTCTCAACGTTATACTGGCTGCCACGTAATTTGATTAAACTTTTCCTTGCAGAGTCTTCGTCGCCTTTTTGTATATAATAAACCAGACTTTCCGTTATTAAAACGTCATTAATAGCTAACTTTATCTGTACAACCTATATAAGTACTCTGGAAATTAATTTTAAATAATCGTAGCAATAAAAGATTTCAACGTACACGAAAAACAAGTAAATAAGAAGATACATTTTTACATTTGTCTATTAGATGAAACGATATGCGGTTTCATTAACTTTTTACTGGCAATTAACGCAATGACGTATTATTTTATAGTCTAACCCTTTTACGGATATAACAAACTAATCATTACATAAAGTTTTATCTACGTCTGCACGTTTTACATACATACATAACTTAAACGTAACTTAACTTACTTACATAACATAAAATGATATTAATAGGTAAAGTGCAAATTACCAATAATCACGAGTTTTCCAGATCCTTTTGAATATCTACCAAAGATTTGCCTTTTGTTTCAGGAACTAGGAAATATACGAAGAAACCTCCCATACCGCTTATTATAGAAAACAACAAAAATGTAGGACAATTACCAATAGCTATTACTAAATCATTATAAAATTTAGTTACAAAGAAAACTAACAACCAGTTTAGAAGAGCAGCACTACTTGCAGCCACACCTTTTACTTTTAGTGCAAAAATTTCACCAAGCATCATCCATGGAACAGGTCCGAAACCGAGGCTGAATGCAACAATAAAGACACATACAGATAATAAAGGTAACCATTCAATTGCGCTAACATCATGGCCATCATGTGAGAGAAAGAAATATAAACCGAGAGCAAAAGTTGATAGGCACATGAATATTGCAGATCCTATTAACAACATCTTCCTACCTAAGTGATCTACAGTTAGTGAGCTTATAAGTACAGATACTATTTGTGTTACACCTACAATAATGGTAGATGTACTAGGACTTAGAGCACTACCAGTTTGTTCAAAAATAATGGTGATATAAAAGACAATAGCGTTCATACCACTTAGCTGTTGAAAAAACATGAGGCCCCAAGAAATTATAAAAGCTCTTACGGTAGCTCTAGATTTGAGAACGACGAAAAAAGTCGCTGCCATTTTAGCATGTTGTTCAAGTGTCTCTCGTTGCTCTTGTAATTCATTCTCAACATTATACTGGCTGCCACGTAATTTTATTAAACTTTTCCTTGCAGAGTCTTCGTCGCCTTTTTGTACATAATAAATAGGTGATTCTGGCATAAACACGAATACTCCAAAAAATATGAACGGTGCAATAGCGGATAGAATAGATAATACGCGTATGTGCACAACACTTCCCAGAACATAGGACAATAAAATGCCAACATTTAGAAGTAATACAAAATAAGATCCTAGACTTCCACGAATCTTAGCTTCTGCTATTTCTGCCGTGTACATAGGAGCAACTACGCAAAATGCTCCAACACTAATGCCAGCAATGAATCTACCAAAATAAAGCATAAGAACGGAGTTAGCGAAAATAATAAGCAACCAACCGACAGTAAAGGGTATTATTGTCGAAAGCATCAAAAGTTTTCTTCCTATGAAATTAGTAAGAATTCCAGTAGGAATACATGCCGCTCCTGCTCCGAGTGCAGATAGTGAACCGATCAATGAAAATTCAGTGTCAGAAATTTGTATTTCATAGACATCTTGTAATAATTTTCCACCAGTGCCAGCAGATGACGTCCAGCTTAGTACCGTACCGACTGCTAAAGCTCCGAGTGTTGCTGACAAACTGGCAATGTGTTGAGGCAATTTTTTGGCATCTTCGTTTTTATGAATTAATACGCGTTGTGATATTGTATAAATTTTCCCGGACATCCTTAGTAATCGAAATTACTTTAGAAGTTCCTGAAAATAATTCGATAACTTAGTATAGAAAATAATTTAATAACTTAGTTGGGAAATTCTATATTATTGTATTAATATAGAATTATTATTTATTTATTATTTATTAACTAAATTTTATTTAAAATTACTTTAGTTTATTCTGCACTGCAAAGACAGATGGCACTTGCATTCTTTAACACGAAAAATTAAGAAATTTATGAATTTTTAGTAAACACCTTTTATTATCTTTTGTTTGTGTGAAATTTATTTGTTGATCTACTTTGTTACATAAAATTGTATTATTATTGTAGATATATGTTTAAATGTAAACAACATTTATAAGGTACTGTTAAGTCAACTTATTATTTAACAATATTTTATTATCTAATTTTGTTACGTACCTCATAGAGTAATTGAAGAACTGAAGGTTTCACTTGAAATATTGTAAGAAACTGTTTCTTTACCGGAGTCTGATTTGTACTTATGGGTATTTGATGAGGACCTCTATCTTGGAAGCCCTAGTTTCTTATCGGCAATATCACGGAAACACGATTAATGTCGACTTATTGGAAGTAATTGTCTGTTTCTGATATAGTAATCACATAGTAGAATGAACATTGTGCAATCCGTATCATTTTGCAATCTGAATGGAAGTTCATGATATGATAGTGAACTAAGAACATATTATATTGCATACATGTGTACATAAAATTATATTTACATAGTATTTCTATGTATCTTTTTCTTGTATCCTTTCTTTATAGTGTTTTTATAGTAATTTTGATGAGCATTACGACACATGAATTTTCGATAATTATTCTGTGGTGTCTCTTGATATTTAGGTGAACATTTTATAAAATCATCACCCTGAGGCCATTTGGCCCCAATCTGCTACATCTGTATACTATCATAAGAAATTCAGTTCTTACTTTTTAAAGTATACATAAAAATTTAAATTAACTTAATTGTTGCGTAATGAAATTGCAAATGAACGATTAATAAACAATTGCTACGTATAATTAAATATATTCTAATAAAGTAATTTAATGTTAAGGTCATGATTATCTTGAGTCAATGTGATATGGCTGCAAGGTTTGAAATACTATCTTATTGAAGTAATAAAGCACTATCTTATCTCATATTTTATATATTATAATCGAAAAATATAAAATATCTTATTTAAAATTAAACTATCAACATTACTCTAGTTGTAACTAGTAACTATCAACCTGTCTTCCTTTTCTGCCGGTAGATGGTAAATAACGCGTTTCCGCCATTTTGTTAAAACTACAGTTGGTAAAAATAAAGACAAAGGAAAATGGAATCCACTTCTCCCACCTTGATTTGAATTCATAAAAAAAATTTTAAACTTATTTGATTTTAGGGTTTTTCTTTGGAAAACCGTCATGCTCTAAATCGTGTTAAATTTTTCAAATAAGCTTTTTTTTTAGAAAGAAAACATCTGTGAGAATATTTTTGGCGATTCGAAAAAAAATTGTTTACCAATTTCATATCATTCCTTACTTTACCGACGGTATTTTGAAAATAGTGGCTGTAACCATCAACGGGCTAATGACTACGGTAGTCGACGCCCTCAATAATAAACAACAATAACAACAACCATCGAAAACTGCCACTTCTTTCGTTAATTCGATACTGAGGTTGGTACAGGCAGAACAAAAGCCTGGATGCATTTTTCGTATATTTAATACTACATTTTTTTTATTGACCTGTGCCTTTTTAATTGGGAAATCTCACTTTCAACCATAACCTCGATATAGTTGATAAAATAGCGTCGAGGTTATGATTGAAAATGGGATTATTTGATTTAAGAAAACACAGTTTAATAACAAAAAATTTACTATTAAATATAAAGAAATATATATAAGTTGTCCACGCCTAAGTGTGAGAGCGCGATATTTCATGAACTATTAATAACACGAAAAAGTGTTTATGTAGAAATTGCAGGATAAAAAGGACTCTATGTTTTAGCGTAAACAAAATTTTTTTGATGTTATTAACATAAAAGATATGATGGTCAAGTTTCGTTTTTTAAATGGAACTATATATTTTTTTTATATGTATTTACCCGATTTTTATTAGTTTTCGAGATATAACGCTGAGAAATTTACTGATTTTCAGCAGAGACGTCTTGATTTGAATAGTAAGTCATAAAAATGGTCTTATTATTGCGGTATATAAAATTCGTGTAGTTTTATTGAATACTAATTTTAATGTCAATGTATATTATATTTACACAGAAATGCTATTTGAGTAGGTTTGATGCTTTTTTGGTGGTACAATACTAAATACTATTAACGTATATACTATCAACATGAAAATACTGTTTATAATATTATTAATTACAATTACACAAAAATTAATTACATTAAAATATATTGTGATAATTAACAATCATTTTGCAACATATCTGCAAGAAAAAGTTGAAAAAAGAAATAAATTTTAATAATTATAAACAATAAGTTAGTTAATAAACAATTATAAAGTTAAAAATTATTTAAAAATTATTCAATTATTGCGCCAATCAAGCTCGAATCGAGGTAGCACGCTATTGGTCCATTAGATGATAGCTGATTGGTTCCTGAAGCACCAATTATTGTTACCGGTTTGTACTTCTAAGAGGTCACGTGTAATCAGTCTTACCAAAGCTGTCAAGGAGGTCGGATCAACCCTATCATCACTTACCGGTAGGAGTCAAGTTTTCACTTAACGGATTACGTGTTCATCTCCATGTTGCCTAATATTTTAGTATAAGCGTGTAGTGTGTTTTATCAGTGTTTCTAATAAATAGGGGGGTGTATTAACACGATTTATGAAGTGTTTCTTTACGCGTCAAAGTGCTTACCGGAGTGTTTTAATTTATAATTGTGCAAGTGTATACGAATACATTAGCGTGCTCTATAGTGTTACAAGTGTGTTTTAATTATTTTTTAAATATTTTACTGGGTTTTATGGTATTATTATCTACATGTTTCTACAAATTTTTATTAACATTTAATGAATTTTATGATGTGGTTATCTACGTGTTTTGACATGCTTGTATTTTAGTGTAATTTACTGCGTAGTTGTAGAAGTGTTTTACCGTTATTTTTCAAATATTTCACTGGGTTTTGTGGTATTATTACCTATGTGCTTTTACAAATTTTTTGAAAGTTTTAATTTATAATGGTGCATGTGTATAGGAATATATTAGTGCGTTTTATATTGTTATTGTGCAAGTGTTTTACCGTTATGTTTCAAATATTTTATTGGGTCTTGTGGTGTTATTACCTACGTGCTTTTACAAATTTTTTGAACGTTTTAATTTATAATTGTGCATGTGTATACGAATATATTAGTGCGTTTTATATTGTTATTGTATAACTGTTTTACCGTTATTTTTCAAATATTTCACTGGATTTTGTGGTGTTATTACCTACATATTTTTACAAATTTTTATGAACGTTTAGTATGTTTTACGGTGTAGTTACGTACGTGTTCCGGTATGTTTTTGCAAACGTTCTAACATGTTTTATAAGTAATTATCTAAGTGTTTTGACATGCATTTTCAAATATTTTACAATATTTCACATTCTAACACAAACGTTTGCAAATTTATAACCGCCTTCCGTAATGTATCTAGTTTTGCATGCTATTTGTTTGTACACCCTAAAATTAAAATCTTATAACATGTATGCACAAGCAGTAGTCAAAAAGCTTGTATGTTATCAAAATGCAAATCGATAAATACAGTTAATTAATTGCTATGATTCTTTTATGATTACAGAAAATCTGTCAAACCGCCACATCCAAATCTGACGAAAGCAATCAATCAACAAAGCAGCCAAACAGCCAATCAATCAAACAGCCAAACAACCAAGCAGTCAATCAACCAATCAGTCAACCAATCTAAGATGCAATTCCTACCAAACGTGCAGTCTCAGTTGCCCTACCGGAAAAAACGATCGCAGTGGCGCAAGTCAACGATCGGTGAGTCGCATGCTTTACGGTTCCTCCGGTTCGCATCATGTCGTAGGACGAATGGTCCGAAATGACACGGGAACTGGTTGTATTTTATATTTTTGAGCGAGCATAGTAACCACGACTGTACGATCGTGAAAAATTCGTACAAACTGTTTATTTCATTTATTAGCTCAGGTCAGGGTTTTCTTGTACATCACGTTTTAATTTCTTTACAATTTAAAAGTAAAATTAGTACATCTAAGTCGGATGATCTTCCGATTTCACAGTAATTGTCGAGTCATTTTCATATAATTATTGAGTCACTTTCAATTTTTACGTATGCCTGAAAATTTTTTAAATAAATGTACAAGAAAGTATCGCGAGAAACAGATTTCGATATCAAAGTTATTTACGAATGTTTGAGTCATTTAGAAATTTACTTTGATATCACAAATCTGTTAAAAATGAAACTACCGATATACTTAGATTTTTGCAAAGTGATCTTCCATTTTCCATTTTGAAAATTTTTTAAAGTTAGAGTCAATTTTTGCTGGAAGACACTTTATTAGCATGTTTCTAATCA